TTCCGTATATATTTTGAACTGTTTTTTTTTTTTCGGCTGAGATTTGGTGTAAAGAATTTTTTTTTTCTTTTTTGTGTTCTTGAGGTGGAATGTGGCTAAAATATTTAGTAAGCATGTTTGGTTAATTTGGTTAATCTACGAATATTACATTTCATCAAAAGGATCAGGAACACTTTATGTTACTGCTTCCTGTTTGTTCCAAGTGAAAATTTGCTTCTCCTAGTGCAGGTGCAGATTAGGTTTGTGTGATTTGACTATATATGTTTTTCTTCATGTAGCTCGAATGATCTCCATGTGATTAGTTATTTTGATTGGTTGTTAGTTTCTTTATCATTTCATTGAGCTGGTTTTGACTGTTGGTGCTCTTTTGCCACAGCCTGATTCAGTAATATTTGATTCTCTAAGAAGGCTGCAAATCATGGCTTTGTCTGTAGAGGTTTTAAAGGTTTGAGCACCCTTGTCTCCTTACTAGATTTTATTTGCCATATGTCTCAGAACTAGTTCTGACTTCTTTGATCTTCTAGCACTTATGCTGACATATGATATACTTAATTGAGATATTTTTACTTCAGTCAACAGAGATTGGAAAGTCTGTTAATGCTCTGCGGAGACATGGATCAAAGCAGATTAGGCAGCTTGCAAAGACACTTGTCGAGTATGAAACTCCTGCCTATTGATCATTTTTTGGAATGATATCATTTGATGTGCAAATCATTGCAAGAAATAGAAAAGAATAATTAGCAAATGTTGTTCTCGTGCTTTTATACGTATAGATTCGTTCCTGTAAAAACGAGATTGTGTTATTATTGACACATTTCGACACACATCGTATTAACTGCTTGACTTAACTTGTCGATCTCTAAATTATGCTTAGATATTGTATTAATTACTTTTGTCGATTCCTGGGTTCGTTTATAAATGCGTCCAAACTTTGTGCATTGCCTTTCCTTTTTGCTCTATTCTGGATTTATTTTGTGTGATCAGAACCATATGAACAGCAGAGATGCCTCCCACTTCTCATAAAGTTAGGCAGGCCTCGTTGTCTTTGCATGCCATTCTGTTCAAGAATGTGACTTCATTTCCTTTACATTCATATCCCATGCTGTTAAAGAAAAGTTATGTATTTTCTGTTTCTTTCATTGTGAATCGCAGTGGCTGGGTGACCATGGTAGATGAGTGGATGAATGCTACAGCAGCTATTGCAAATGGTACGTCTGGATTTATGTTTTCCAGCTTAATTTGTTTCCCATTTTATTCTTCAATTCTCACTAAAATCTGAGCTTGTTTTGCCTTGTGATTTGGCAGAAGGAACTCCAGAGTCTATGAAAAAGTCTGATTTAGTTAATGAAGAGGAGGGGCTTCCTTCTCCTCCACTAGATGAAGGATTTCTCTTTGCATCTCAGAATATTTCAATGGAGCTCTCACAGGTGGGTTTATCTAAATTCATCCATAATATGAGTAGTTTGTTTTCCTTTTTTGCTTATGTGCTGACTGGATTTTGTAAAATTGTGTTTTCCGGGATTGCTATCTCTGAAGTTCTTTGACGGCATGGATGATGATGGAAGTGAGTTGACTTTGTGCCATTCTGAATTTCTAGTTTGGTTTTGCTATTCGGTTCTTTATTTGAATTCCCCACTAATGGTGATGTATCATTTTGATTGGGGACATTGTTTCAGATCCTCAAAACAGTGGGGAATTCAACAAGAACCGTGACAATGGCAGAAAGCCGTCGCTGGAGAACCACACTGTTCCAAGGCAGAAACAGCAAATTCGTGGCAACTTGATTAGCCCTCCGAAAGACCGGAAAGGTGAACAGATGAAGAAACAAGATGCTGTAACAAAGAAACAGGAAGCGGTGATGAAGAAACAAGCAGCTGTGGCAAAACCAAATAAGCCCTCATTTGGTGAATCTGGGCCAGGCAGACCTGCAAAACCAAGCGTTGATCAATACCAGATGAAACCTCAGCAGAAATCTGATAAGGGAACGAGTCAGAAGAGGGAGTTGCCTTCTCAGCCAAATGTGAGTATCATAATTGATCACATTTAACTTTAGATAGGTTTGGATTGCTGATTTTTTTTAACAATATTACATTTTCTTTAAACTAGAAATTGAGGTCTTCAGATGATGCGGCTGTTCGATTAAAACTAGAGGCCTCGAAAAGGAAGCTTCAGGAGCGCTACCAAGAAGCTGAGAATGGTTAGTTCTTTCATTCATTCCTCTTTGAACCTTAAATATTTTCAGAAATGAGAAATCCATTGGAAGTGCTTGTTCCTGAAGTTAAGGATACACCAAGGATATGATTCAATGATTCTATTAGTTGTTTGAAGAGTTTCTGTTTAGTCTAACAGTGGATTATGGATTCTCTGACAGCCAAGAGGCAGCGAACGGTACAAGTAATGGAGTTGCATGATATCCCCAAGCAGAATCTTGGCCATAGGAATCCAAACATGAGACCTGGCAACTTCAATAGGCACTGGGGTCGTCGATAGGTCCCAAACCTACTGGCCTTTCAAAGACAGTTTTGTCTATCCTCCTTTGCAAGTCAATTTGGAGAACGCTAATACTTCCTGTATATGGCGTTGACTTGCAGGTGCATCAGAGAATTGCATCTAACTGCTTGATCCTTACATTGAGGCCACTCTGCTTCTTGGAGTGTGTTATTTTCGAGAATAGCGATATAAATGGATGCTTAGACATCGGCTTTTTTCTGGAACTGAAAGAAGGGTAGGACATGATCTGCTCTATGTCCCTTCATTGTAGAGGACTAATTGAACCCCCTTGACTCTCTCCAGTCATTTCCCATTGTCATGGATAGGCCAGACATAAATTGCACAGAATGAGTGCACTTTGTTAGGTGTTTCTCATGTATAAAAACTTACTAGACATCAATACAGATTAAAGCTAATAATAGCAGTTTGCCTTTTGTAGGCAGTTACTTTTTGTTGTAACTTTGGCAGATCTTAGAACAATTCCTGTGGTGTAGAGAGTGTAGTAAATCTTCAGAATACCTGGCAAGTTAGCCAAATTCAGTCTTCCTTATCAAGGGAAGGTTAAAACTATTGATGTGCAGTTCTGCACTTATGGTATGTGGCAAATCTTTTTGGCTTTTAGATCCACTTGCTTGACTCCTTTCCTCATTGGCCTTTTTGGGGGACAGAAAGAAGAGGAGGGGGTAGGTGTAATATTTTTCTTTTAAAATATGTTTACCATCTTTCCTTCACCCAACCCTCAAGCTAAAGGCACAAATCCCACTCCATTTTGGACAACAACCTTTAGTGGTGACTTTCTAAAAGTTCCCCTCTTCATTTCCTCTCCCCATTTTTTTTTTTTGTTTTTTTGAAAAACTCTCTCTTTAGCAATTTCTGATAGTTGGCTACTGGTTCCCACTGTGGTATTGGATTCATAATGGAGAGGCCAGTAGGAGAAGCATGTCCATTTCAATTTGAATTGCAAGCACTCATCTTCCCATGATGTAGTTTAGCAATCATGTTACACTAACAATTAGCTTATTCTAAGATATATAAGTGGCTGTAAAGTGGTCCAAGAAAATTAGACTAAATCAATGATATTACCTCTATTAGGCTCAAATAGATTGAATGCAGGTAAGAAGACAGCATGGTCCACTTCAGTGCATATCCAACTATGTTTCAGACAAAATAGCCTTTTCCAGTATTATTAAATAAAACATTTCAGCATTAGTGGCTAATTTGCCGCATTACTATTTTTACTTAACTTGTGGATAAACTTTTCTTCAGTTTGAGATTTGATATTAATCAAAATACAATATGAAATAATCTCTTTTGAAAAATACAAATAAGTACATCTAGATAAGATAAGAAAATAGCCCAACTTATGTGTGTGTGTGTGTTTTTGTATATATAGGTTGGATGGAACGTAGGTATGTATAGGGCAACCATTAAAAAAATCCATAATTAAAGTACCCTTTAGTCACAAAAGAACAATTTTTTTAGTACTAAAACCTCATTTATTATATTCAAATACTTGCTTACTATAGCATATTGATCACAAAAATTTACTCTCTTTAGCCCACTATTTTTGTTGCAAAAGATTCTGTGCAAGTTCTTGATAAGCTCCTTGAAAGCTAAAATGTTTCAAAACTACCCTCATTTCATATGGCTATTGCAAACGGTAAAAAGGTTAAGCAAAACCCAAGTGATAATTGTGTCATGAGTTTGATTTCTCTACAAAAAAAAACTAATGAAGAAACTTTATCATATGACCTAAAAATATAAAGTGAATGAGATTATTTCAAGTATCAAGATCATTTTCATGTAATTCTTGATTGTGAAGAAAAACCCCAACAGACCGTCAAACTACCAAATGACTTTGTTCGACGAATTTATTGGCAAGGCAATGCATTTTCCATTGCCTTTTTGAGATTACCAATTTATGAAACATAATTGGGCAAAAAACTGATTTGGCCCTCAAATTTTCATGTGTACATTTTTAACCTTCCAATCGTTTAGTATAACTGTTTCGGCCGTCGAACTTTTTCAAAGCGGACACTTAACGTCCTCAGTTCATTTGACATGTCAAAGCCAATAAAGAAGGCACGAAAGCTACATCATTTAGAGGTCGGTGGAATATTAACTACAATTTTGAACACTCAAAAGGTAAAATGATATATTTAATAGTTGAAGGGTAAAAATTATTTTTTTTAAAAAATGCAAAATTCGAGAATCGAATAGGCATTTTTCCCAAAGTGATTTTATTAGGGTGCATGCAATTGCAAAAATTCCCCTATGTACACCACCACAAAGTTATGAATTAGTTACTCCCTCTTTCTCATAAAATTTGTCATGTTTGCCACTTTTTCTTATTTTAAATTAATTGTCATTTTAGAAAAGTTAATTCACATTTTTCAATAAAACTTTATCTTTACCCTTCATGTGGTTCGCCACTTATTCTCCATAATTATCAATTCATCAAATAAAAGATGAAAATATAAGAGAAAAGTAAAAATCATCTTTTCTATTAATATCACTATGCATAAATTGCACGTTTTTTCAAAAATAATAAATTTTATGGACGGAGAAAGTATCATACTTTGAAGGTAGACTATCTCACCAACATGGGATCCACCAAGAAGTCCACACGCATCCCATTGACCAATTAATTCTAGCCATCACTCTAGAATTTAGGGCCCTACACGATTTTAGATTCCAATATCCTTATTCATTTTATCTCATCTATCTATATATTCCTTTTCTTCACACGCTTACACTGGCCAGATTGTCCCTTGGTCCTTTAGGGTTTAGTGGCTTAACTTTTTTGACTCTTTCTTTAATGTATTGCATACTTTTTATCTGCCCTTCAAGATTGTTGAATGATGCGAAAGCATCTATCCAGACTCCCTAAAATAAAAGATGCGTGATGTAACTTGTAAGCTCTTTGCATCTGCCGTTTTGAAGCATCAAAGTTTTATGACTCTTGATTTTTTTTATCTTTTTATTCTGTAATGCATTGAGGGTGAACCAAAACTACGCATAGAAATTGTCAAAACACAAAGAGAATAACAGGTTCATATTCTTTTTTGGTGCATTAACAGGTTCATATTCTTGAACCGAAACTAACCCATTTTTAAGTTTAAGACTGGCTAGTTTAAGTGGTAAAGATATTAGTCAGGTGATCATGAGTTCTCTAGTTCGACTCTCAAATTCTCTTTTTTAAACCTTTCCCTTTATAAGGTTTAAGGTTTTTCATTGGACCCAAAAAAAAAAGAAGAAAGAAATTAACCCTTTGATCATCCATTGTTGCATACACATTTCAGCAAAAGAATCAAAGAAAAAAAACTGCTTCCGAAGAAAAGGAAAATGTCTATCATATTAGACTTGGAGTTCTTAGCTATGTATGCTGACTTATAATGGCCTTAAACCATCCCCCACACAAAAATAAAAAGAGTGAAACAACTTATTGTAGTATTTATTTAGTACTAACAACGTAATTTGCGCCTCTGAGAATTGGAATCTTTTTACGGGAATCCCTAAGAAATTTATAAACCTATACTAGAAACACAAATCTGCCTCTTAAATTCATTAAGTTAAATACATCAAATTTGGAGCAAGAATTAGACTAGAAAAATAAATCTGCTTTTGCCATTAGCATGATATTACGTATGTGAAGTTACTAAAAAAAAGTACAAGATGAATAATGTTCATTAAACATTTATGTAGATATTAATATCCATTTTCTCCGCTATTGTATTGCCATTCTATACTTTTCGACTTAGAAGAAAAAGAAAATTTCATAACTTTACAGCTTCTTGCCTAAGTCCTAAGCCTGGTGCCTCGTGGAAAGGAAAACTTGCCTTTAGCCCTGGGTACAAGAAAAATTTTCTGTGCCTTCAAGAATCATATTCATGAACGACAAAAACAAAAGGTCCACAGGAATTGTTATCTTTATCTTCACCGTACTTTCAACATTTTCTTTAAAGGTACATATTCAGTTGGCAAGTCATATATTTTGGTTTCACATCAATTGGAAGAGTATGATAACCTAAATTTAATTTTTTTGTCAATATTGATTCGAAAAAGAAAAAGGAAAAAGATGGGGATAAGCTGGAGACCATGGAGCAACACATTTTAGAACGACAACTTCCTACTTATTTCTTGCTCATGGAGGTTTAATTTCTATCACATTTCATCAACACTTGATCAAGCTAATATCTTACATGATACAACAGATGTCACTTCACCGTCCATACTCTCAAAATAATCAGATTACAAATTTTGCCATATTTGAAATCTTTACGAATGTTTGTGCTCTTATTGTTGGTTGTTTTTCTTGCAAGGAAGCAATAATAAAAGGGACTTGACATGTGATGCAGACTAAAGAGACAAGACTAGGGATGGCATCCCCGTCCCGCCGCCCGTCCCCCGCCCCGCGCTCCCCCGCCCCCGCCCCGCCCGCCCTGCCTTGCCCCGCTTCCCCCGCGGGGGGCAATATAATTTTATTATAATTAAATTTTAATAATAATCAGTACTAAAATATCAACACATCACCAAATTATTATTCATTTGTAATTTTACAATTGAAACTCATAAAAGCAATCAAACAGAAGTTATTTGAATACAATCCAATAATGATGAAATAAATATAAGCTAAAATAGTTCAAGTTTCACTTTAGTACAAATGGCAATCACCTAATTCATTATTGTGTTTGTGCTTTTTTTTGAGAAAAAAGTGTTATTCTAATTAAAGTGTAATATAGAAATTTAGTATAAATGTATTAGTAAAATTTAGTGATAACTAATTAATAAATTCTATTAGTAGACATGTAATAATTTTCATAATATTAGTAGACATGTATCAATTATATTACATAAACTAATGTACATTATATAATACATCTAACTCTAATAAATTATCAATAAGTTTATAATTAATTAACTTACATATTATATATGATATATATATAATATTATATATATATTATATATTTTTGTTTTGGCGGGTGGCGGGGCGGGGGAGGGGCGGGGCATACTCCCCGCCCCCCGCCCCATTTCTAAGCGGGGGGAAAAAATTCCCCCCGCCCCGAGAGCCCCCGCGGGCGGGGGCCCGCGGCACCCGCCCCCATTGCATCCCTAGACAAGAGTGATTAGTGGATTTGTCAATTTTATTTCCCGTTCTGTTTGGTTACCATTAGTTATTTAACCACGAAATTAGGTACTGTTTATGTTGATTAATTTGTAAATCTTCTAGTAAGCAAGATTACAAGTAGGGGAAGAAAATGAGAGTAGAAATAGTTTATTGGCATTTTTAAAAACCACGGTAAAGCCATGTTCTATCTCCCTCATCTACAATGGTTAGTTTGTTGGCTATTGCCCTTTATAGCGTGATCAAGAGTTTGGTACGGTGCTAACCATCAAAAGATAGTGACAATAATTTATATTTAACAGATTGGCACAAAAAAATCAGCACATCCCTTAATGTCAAAGTATATGAAAATAATGCCTGGAGGCCCTGAACAAGAAAAATTGTAGTAGTCAAACAGATTGCCAGACCACACTCTTGCTCTTTACTGTTTGAAAAAGTTAAAATTTGATGCTTCATCAAGTCTGCCATATTTGTAACGAATGAAACACCAACATTCACA